ACGGGGTGAATGTAAAACGTACCCTTCCATCTTTGAGAAATTCTTTACTTGTTCAACATTCTCGTGGTAGTCATCTTATTTGGAGTTTCTAATGTTGAAGATACAATCCTTCGTACAATCAGCAATCAGCAATAATGAATATCTTCTCTCTTCACAAAATTTGAAAACTGCCTACACACCCGGCACATTGGACAGCCAGCCGTGTGTATTTTTTGTGGGCCTTGGAATCAATATACGTAAACAAAGTTTGAAATTTTAAAGTAAAATGTGAGCAAAAGTGACAATTTAAAGACGAAATTCTCGAAAAAAGGAAAATCAGCTGCTCTACTGATAATTCAATGAGAAATGCTAAATACTAGTGAAATTTCTTTTAGATATTTTTAACAATAATCATTAACGTCTATTTTCGAGATTCCTACTCACAAATACCCAGTGTTTCTCCGCAAAATTATAACTTCAGAAACCATCTACATATGTATGTGCTCCTTGATTCGAATCGCAAGCGTCCAGACTTAAAAATATAAACTCGTTCAAAGACATGCCATATTTAACGCATAGACATGTCATTTTAACGCAAAGGTGACAAAATACCAAATACGGGACAAATACCGGACATTAGAAGAAATACAGGAAATTTTTCGTCCCGTATGAAATAAATAAATTACCAGGACCAAGGACGAAAAAGAGGACTGTGTCGTATAATGCAGGACGGATGGTCACCGTAATCATATCGGTAAAATGTAAGCAGTAAAGATGCCTCTACTAACAGGGCAAATAAATTGTTATAAGTATTTTCGTTTTCTAATCTTTCCGGTAAAAATAAATTTGTTATTCCGAAATTACGGCAACGCTAAAGTGAAATTCGCTAAATTCGTCATAAAATTTCAAAGGTTGGCAATGCAACATAAGCAAATAAAGAGTCACTGCTAGCAAAAACCAAAACCTTGGTTGAAATATCTAATATATCTGACCCACGAAACAAAACCAAACCAAAATTTAAAGTTGACTACAAATTTTTAAAGGCTACATCGGGTGAGCAACAATTTATCGATGCGAGAAATGAATGCGCTGATGAGGAAACGAAAACTCCTATATCGAGGCGTTAAGGTGGCCGGTAATCTAAAGGTTGGGCCCTTATTATGAGTCGCATACGATTTTCGGTCGTCGCTGGCTATCGAAGATCGAAAGTGAAATTTGTATTATGAGCTATGCAAGCTTGTCAAAATCCAACAGCAATTCAATTAAAAATGATTTCTTACACAAAGGACTCGTCTGTCCGAGTCGAGCTTTATTTTTCTTCTAATAATAAGCAAATTACAATTTTAAAGTTATGCCTGCCAATGTGCAGCGCTACGAAACAACAGAGAAAACGACAGAATAACAAAAACTACTCAAGAAACCAGTGATGCCACTGAATACGAAAAATATATACATGTAATCAAATCAGTGATGGGACCTGATGTGTTATACATCCTGCCCGGCTGAACCGTCACGGTTCAGGATCTCTTCGTTGGGACCAGTTAGCCGGCAAAACTTCTGAACCGGTCGCTGACATCGGTGCTTTACATACAGACCTTCGGCTGTTCTCTTATCGCTGTTGTACTCGACGGTTACGACGCGCACTAGGCCATCGTCGCCAGGATGTACATCGATGACTCGTGCCATACGTCAGTGAGCTGGTGGAAGATTCTCGTTGAGGATAAGTACTACGTCGCCGCGTTGAAGATTGGGATGAGGACATACCCATTTGCCACGTGCTTGAAGCGAAGTGAGGTAGTCTTGCTGCCATCGCTTCCAAAAATGTTCATACATGCGCTGCAGCCGCTGCCAATACTTGAGACGATTCTCAGGCTCGGGGCGTGAAACAAGCGGTCGTACAATGAGGAACTCTCCAGGAGTGAGTGCTAGACCACCTTCGGGATCATCGTGAAGAGCCACCAGTGGGCGAGAATTCAAACACGCTTCTATTCGAGTTAGTAGAGTGCTTAGTTCTATAAATCTCAATGTTTGACGACCAATCGTCCGGTACAGGTGCTTCTTCGCAGATCTCACAGCGGCCTTCCAGAGTCCACCATGATGTGGAGCTGCAGGAGCGATGAATCTCCACTTCGTACCTACAGCGGCTACATGCTGTTTCGCTTGCGTGTTCGACCATTCCGCCAAGTCAAGCTGCAGCTGTTTATTGGCTCCAACAAATTGCGTACCATTATCGCTGTAAAGTGTGGCGCAAATACCTCGTCTCAGCCAGCTCTATATGCACGGCCATGGAGGCCATGCAGACGGAAATCGCACCATAAGTCTTGGTCAAAACGTTCGACCTCTTACCACCCAGTCGCACATTAAATGGGCCGCAGTAATCGAGGCCTGTGTGAGTGAACGGTGGTGCAACCAATACTCTTGATCTCGGGAGCGAAGCCATCTGNGTGGCGCAAATACCTCGTCTCAGCCAGCTCTATATGCACGGCCATGGAGGCCATGCAGACGGAAATCGCACCATAAGTCTTGGTCAAAACGTTCGACCTCTTACCACCCAGTCGCACATTAAATGGGCCGCAGTAATCGAGGCCTGTGTGAGTGAACGGTGGTGCAACCAATACTCTTGATCTCGGGAGCGAAGCCATCTGTTGTTGTTGGGTGATTCGCTGATGACGGCGGCATACAACACATCGATGGACAAATGTCTTGGCCAATGCGCGCATGTGTACGATCCAGAAACTTTGGCGCAAATACTGCATCATCCCTTGAATGCCACCATGAATACACTTCTCATGGGCATCGCCGATAAGCAGCCATGATAATGCTCCATCCTTCGCTAAAATGATCGGGTGCCGTTGATTAAATGACAACTCTGTTCTCTGTAAGCGACCACCGACTCGAAGTATCTGTTTTTCGTCCAAGAAGGGATTCAGGGACTTTAGCTTACTTGTGGAACTTATGCTGGAATGAGATCTAAGCGAATTAATATCTGATAGGTACACATTACCTTGTGACTGTCGAATGTGAACCTCAAGGGCCCATGCCCTCTCCTCTGTGGTCAGCGGATCTCCTCGGTGACCTCGGAATGCAGGTAAGATTCGCCGTAGACGCGCCGTAGTGTCAAGCAGTCGATTTAGACGGCTAAACTTTTCCACCAAAGGAATTCGTCTGCCACCGAATGTCGTGCTCAATAATCCACATGTCGCAGCGGTCACCAAGCTGCGAGGGGGGTGGCTCTCCAACGTGGCTGTCTGTTGTTCTTCGTCAGTCAAAGCAGGCAACTCGGTGCTACGGTTGAAACAAGTGTACATAATTGGTGGACCAGTCCACCAGAGTGGATGATCTTCAAGCGCCGTTGGTGGAATGCCACGACTGGCGCAGTCTGCTGGGTTGTGTTCACTTCGGATGTGTCGCCAACAATTCACTTCAGAATGAGTTTGTATGAATGCCACACCGTTGGCTACATACGGCTTTATTACGGTCGGTGCTTTCTGGATCCAGTGGAGGACAATGGTCGAATCACTCCAATACATACAATCTGCGCTGTCCAGTCGCAAGGCGTGACAAATCTCTTCCATTGTCATAGAGAGTAGTCGTGCTGCACTGAGTTCCATTCGTGGAATTGTAGTACTCTTACTGGGTCCTACCCTTGTTTTGGCCGCAACCAGGGATACGCGTACCGCACCCTCTGGATCTTCGATGGGCACATAGACGACCGCAGCGTAAGCTTTGCTGCTGGCGTCACAGAAGCCGTGCAAGTTTACCGTGGACGTCTTGGTCATGCCCAACCAACGCAACACCCGAATACTGGAAAGGTGGTACAAACCATTCCGAAATGTTAGCCATTCATCTCGTAAATCGCCTGGTAATGGTGTATCCCATGGCAGCTCTGCCTTCCAAAGCATCTGGATAAAAATCTTGGCCATTCGATAACCGGCGACAATAGTCCCGATGGGTCGTATAATCGTGCGACATCGCTTAGTACGTTGCGTTTAGTAGGAATTGCATCGAGCACTGGCAACCGTACTTTGTAAAATAAGGTGTCATTATTAGGGTTCCAGTGCAAGCCCAGTACAGTGATATCAGAATTACTCGGAAACGACTCGCTGCTGGTAACTGATGCATCCGCAAGAGCCGTCAAGGTCAGCGTGCAATTGGAGTTCCACACACATGGCGACATTACGAGCACGCTCGATTGCCTCTGTAGTAGTATCTACACTATCCAAGTAATCATCGACGTAAAAGTTTGAGGGTATGCTCCCCTTAGCCTCAGCTGCCCGGTTGACATTGTGGATAACTGAAAAGTTATCACTGGCGCACTGTCGCAATGCGCGAATAGCGTTGTACGGTCCACAAGCCATACCGTAGGTGACCGTATTTAATTGGTAGGTGCGGATCTGTTCGCTTGGTGACTCCCGCCAGAGAATCTGCTGCCATTTGCGATGCCTTTTATCCACCTCAACCTGACGGAACATCTTCTCCACGTCCGCCTTAATGGCAATTTGAAACCGTCGAAATCTGTGAAGGATGTAGACGAGATTGTCCTGCAATTGGTTACCAACAAGTTGCGTGTCGTTCAATGATATGCCATTGCTCGATTTAGCCGAAGCATTAAACACCACACGGAATTTCGCAGTCACAGCATGATGCGGGTTATAGTAGCATTGGTCGTAGTTAACTTCTCTCTCCGGGATGTGATGCATATGACCAAGCTGCTCATACTCCCGCATAAATTGGATATACCTGTTACGAAGATCCGCATCTCCAGCCAGTTTTCGCTCTAAATTAAAGAATTGACGAAGTGCACCACGATGGGAATTTCCAAGTGCCGGAGCGTTGAATCGGAATAAAATTTGTGCGACATATCGACCATCGGTATTCCTCGAAAACGTGTCCAGGAATATTTGCTCGCAGTCCTCCACATAGCTGCCTTCAGGTGGTTCTTCCGCATCCCAAAATTTTCGAAGAAGCTCACCAAGATCATGGTCTTTCAGTTTGGTACTTAAGGACTGAGGCTTGGATTCCTATGATTTGGCATTAGTCGGGCCCAACACAATCCACCCGAGTCGAGTACGCAATGCACATGGTTTATCACAGCCTTCTGATACCACTCCATCTTGGAGGATGGTGCTCCAAATGTCAGCACCGATAAGCAAATCGATGCACCCCGGTAAACCAAATGTAGGGTCAGCCAGTTGTAGACCACTTAAGTACTCATAGGCGGCTGTGTTTACAGGAATCGCGGGTGTCGATGAAGTGATCGAATTCAAAATGTAAGCGTCGAAGCTAATGTCGACCCCTTCATCAATCCTCGAATGCAGGTTAAGGGTGGTAACGCCCTTAGTGTATGTTGAGTTTTGGCCGACGCCTTCAATAGTCATGACACAGCATCCTCTACGAAGATTCAAACGATGAAACATAGGTTCTGATAAAAAGCTCACCTGAGATCCCATATCACACAAAGCTCTGCATTTATGTAGGTTACCCTGATGATCAGCGAGCAAAACCTGCGCAGTGGCTAACAACACGACGTGATCACCATGAACCAAGAAGGACTGAATTACATCTGACTGTTGTTCACTGCGTGGGAAGACCTGAGGCTGCGATACTGTAGGTTCTGGCTTAGAATTCGATGACTCCATTTGGTGGGAAGTGGCGGCCATGCTAGTACCCGCACCAACAGTCGGACTGCGACAAAGAAGTGTATGATGTTTTTGGCGGCAAACCGTACAAACTCCCACTGAACAATCACGCGTGACATGGCCGTCACGCAGACAGTTGAAGCAAAGGCGCAAACGTCGAACGGTCTCCCAACGAGACGTTACTGCAAGATTCTGCCAGCGATGACATTTGGCAAGACGATGGTTCTCCGAACAATGTGGACAACTTGAAGTATTCGCACCATTCGCTTGTGCAGACGCTAGGTGTGCTCCAGCCCCACGTTGTGCCGTATGTCGTGAAGAGGTGATCACACCCTGCGACACAGACGATGCAGCCGGCATATTCATCGCGCGACGCTCGATGAAACTCAATAAATCTTCCAATCTGGGAATATCGTTGTCTTTGAGGCTCATGCCCCAATCATTTCTTGCTGCTACCGGCAGCTTTGGCAGCAATATTGGAATCGCAAGCGCATCCCATTGTGTTACCGGCAACCCCATGACAGATAATGTACGAAAGCTGTTACGTACACAGTCGATGATATCACGGAGCACCTTCTGTGTGTCGCGTGGATCAGTTGGCAAAGCTAGTATACGTTGCACATGGGTTTGTGACAGCAGATAGGCGTTGTCATAGCGACGCTTCAGTTCCGCCCAAACCTCTTCATATCCTCCAGTATACAACCCAGTGACCATTGGGCCACTATCAGGCTTGACGTACTGCCGCAATTTACTAAGCTTGTATGTTGGCTCGAGATCTGTCCGTTGGTGGTCTCCACCTGGCCATCGAAGGGTGGTATGGAAACAGGATCTAGCCGTTAATCCGCTGCTTGGGTCCGCACGGAGTCATGCTCAACAGGAGTGCATTGCAATAGCAAGCGACGTAATTAAATGCAAACTTTGTTGAATTGCTCTTCCGTGCTAGCGTACAGCGTATCGGGAGTAGGAATATCTGACGACTGTGCCCCAGCGACTAAATCCAAATGATGTTCAACGAAGCGATCCCAGTACTGCTGCACCATTCCAAGAATGTGCTCAATTTCGACCTGGTCTGGACTATAGTCCTCTATATGAACCGTATTAAAAATCCGCGTAATCGATGACTTCGCTGAAGTACGTAAATTCAAAGAAGTCATACCGCAATATATGTTGTACAGTTTTTTCCACAAAATGATATCTGCCTAATCACGCCACAAAGCAAACGTTGATTAGCGGCTTATTGAACAGTTAATTCTGAACGGCTCACGAGTTGTTGTTGTGTCACCTCGAAGCGACAACAAACCACCGCTATTGCCGCACTTCTGGCAAAGTCTCAGTACTCCGTTACACGAAACTAAATCTGTGGAGCCCTTTTCGGTAACTCCAGCTGGATGATGCACTGCTAATCCAAGCGAGACTTCCTCGATCGCTTGTTCGTGAATGCACCGTCGCACTTCAAAATTGCTCCTCACAGGATGCACCAAAAATGTATCAGAACTCCTTGATACATTCAGACGGCCAATCGCTGGCCGCTCTAAAAATCCAACAGCAATTCAATTAAAAATGATTTCTTACACAAAGGACTCGTCTGTCCGAGTCGAGCTTTATTTTTCTTCTAATTATAAGCAAATTACAATTTTAAAGTTATGCCTGCCAATGTGCAGCGCTACGAAACAACAGAGAAAACGACAAAATAACAAAAACTACTCAAGAAACAAGTGATGCCACTGAATACGAAAAATATATACATGTAATCAAATCAGTGATCGGACCTGATGTGTTATACAGCTTTCGTTGGTGTAGCGAAGTGTTAGAGAATTGTGAAAAATGTATGATTTTGCATTTGTTTTCTTGCTTTTTGGCGGCTAGACACTAATTTTAAAAAATTGTTTATTAACTTCATGCAGTTCCAACCTCGTGAATATTAAACACAAGCTCGAAAGGCTGGTTTTACTTATGAAAGAAAAACCCAATACTCGGTTTGCACGATCTCTGAGAACAAAATCACAGAGCTGTTTTTAGTTTAATATATTTTAAATAGATTTGGATCACAAAACTTCTTGCATGTCAAAATATATTCGAAAGACTACACTTAAACTCTCTTAAACGTTTTCTGCTCCTGGCCAGTTTTCTAAGCTCTCATCCTCTGACGAATTGTTGAACCAGAACTCCGTTGTACTAATTTTTACCACGTTTTTATAAACTCGCTTTCTTATCTCATTTTAATTTGCACAAATTTACATATGTACATATGCATATGCACACTATTTAGTTTGCTCGATTTGTAAACAAAGCTTCTCAGCGGTGAAAAATACGCTATTGTGAACAGCCTAAACGAGCGAAATTCACAATAGCGCTATTCTTCATTGAGTGAGCGCCAAAATACTTAATGAAAATTCGTTCGATCAGCACATTCGACCACAGTCGAAGATCGAATGCAACTCATAATAGGGGCCTTAGATGAGAAAAAAATGCCATCAACGCTACCTGGCTAAAATACATTAATAATTCAAGTAAAACAAGTGAGAAAGTCTAAGTTTGGGCGGAGCCGAACATTAAATACCCGGCGCAAGTATTAAATATACGTTTTCCACCTTTCCGAAAGCTACCGCTACATGATAAGCCGGGGTGTATAAATTTTAAGTAAATTAGCGTCCTTAAATTTCGAAATATTGAAATTTCAAGCATTTCTGAAATTTACCGTTATATGAAAAGCGGACGTAATTTTAGTCCGATTTCAATAATTTTGAAAGTTTTGCTTCTATGTGGCAAGCACAATAGCCATACCGAGTTTGGTACAAATTGGTAGAACGGTTACCGAGATACATATATGTGATCATAAGTGGGCGGTGCCACGCCCATTTTCCAAAATTTTATCACAAACGTATTTCTTGGTAAAGAATTGTTGCAACCATCAATTTTGAATAAATTAGCTTTAATATTTACTGATTTATCGAGGATTTCGTATTTTTCTAAATTACCGTTATATGGGATGTGGGCGTGGTTATTGTCCGNTTACGACGTGTGTCCACATGATGTTCATCTCCTGGTGTTTAAGCTAGGTAGCTAAGTGGGACAGTATAGCAAACAGCGCAAATATTGAACCATTGAAAGAATTTACTACTAACACTGTAAATAGATACATTGCGTTTTTCCTTGAGAAACTCGAAAAACAAGAATTTAAACTGTTTCATAAAAAAAAAAACAAAGTACCACAATCCATTACCAATATCCGTACGTATTTTCTACAGATATTTACTATATTAAAGATGAATTTTCGGCTCATCAAATTAGTTTAGTATTTCGCGAAAGAGGTGGGCTACTGAACATAAATGCGAGAACATTCACGAACGTCGCATCCGCAGCTTGTCCAGTCTGTAACTTAGGGGAGTCAGAAAATACACTCCAAGTTCTTGGTACAATCTATAAAAGCATGCGCCTACACTGCTTTGGGGAGACGGTTTTGAATCTGGCTAAAGTAATAAACATTTCAAATGGCTGTGATTACACTTACTTATACAGTATAGGGAGTTAATTTTAACGGAATTCTCATAAACCACACTAAATTTTTGTTTCTTTTCTTCTTCTTAGTTTTTAAGTTGCCAGTATAAATGTCCGACTATCGACCTATTCCGTCATAGCCGTATGTTCGTACTTATTCATCTGTATATTAATATTAAACATTAATTGTATCTGAAATAATAAAAATAATTTTTTTTTGAATATACAACGCTTTTATGTATAAATGGACTAAAAATTGGAAAATAATATTTCTCAATCCTATAGAATTTGTTTTGATAACTTTAGATTTTGAAATTTTAGCAGTCATTATAAACAATTTATAAGATTGAAAATGAAAAAAGTGGAGCGCATGCAATACAAATCATTAGATTTAATTGACAATAGTCAAACTATATAACATATACCTAAAATTTCTACAGAGAAAGTACAAATTTGAGATCGATTTTAATCGGTCGTTATTCATATATCCACATTCATGCATACATTACCATTCAAATGAATTCAGGTCTATTACATGCGCCTCAATCTTTTCATTCTCAATCTCATAAATGGTTTATGATGACTTTTGCTAAAATTTCAAAATCAAAAGTTATCAACACAAATTCAATGGTACTGAGAAATATTATTTTCTAATTTTTAGTCCATTTATAAAAGCGTTGTATATTAAAATGTTATTTTTTATTTTTTTTTATTTTCTACTTTTTAGTCTTGTCTGTATAAAATTTTGCAATAGACGTTAAAATAATTCAACTTGCAGTGAAAAGAGAACAGAAGACTATGCAAGCAAAATATTGTTTGCTGACGTTCTGTATAAACATACATATGTACATACCAGGGTTTTGCGAATATTCGCATTCGCATTCGCAACCGCGGAGCTTCCGCATTAATTTTAACATTCGCATTCGCTTTCGCATTCGCAATAAGCTATGTGGAGCTTTTGCGAATGCGAATATTGTGCAAGTGCATTGATAAAACGTATATCTGGCAAACAAAATGATAAATTGTCGCCAATATTTTTTGCCTGAGGGGATACTACGTTAAAACAGTCCCATTATGTCCCCCTTCTTTTGTAATTTAAAGTCAAAGAGTAAGATCTTGCAATAAGTATTTCCGGAGGAAATTTTCAACGTCAAGCTATAAAGAGAATCGACAATTTGCGCGGTAAAAGATAATCTTTAATCAGGTAATAATTATGTAACTATCAAATATTATTTGTCAAAGGTCTGTTGAAAAAACTGGATCCATTGCTAGTTTTGTTTCTACCTTTTCTTAGATAAGTGTGATAATTTTTGTTTCATAAAACGGCTTATTATTTATGATTAAGTTCCGTGGTTTCTTTTTTATTTAGCAGAAAAACGCACCAAATAATTTTGACCGGTTTTACTATGCAAATACTCCTCTGTGCGCCCGAAAACAAAAACATTTATCATGTTGAGGAGTGGGACTTGGCGTGCAATATATCGTTAGTATTAGGGTTCGAAATTTCAGACTTTGGTATCGATACTGAGTACTCATTCTGGCATCGAGCTCAAGGTATCGATACTCTAAAATTATCAGGGAAAAAGTCTCGATACTACTCAGTATCGGACTCATTGTAATGCGTTGGTTGGGATACTAAAATTATTTTATTCTTCAATCGTATATCTAGTTATTTCCTGAAATTAAAACAATAGAAATTTAAAATATTTGATTTTTATTTCATTTCAGAACTTACTTTCACGTTAGACGTAATTTTAACGTTAAATGTACATACATACATACATATACATATAAACTTTCACGAATTTCAAATTTTATTAAGAATTTTTTTAAACTTTTTGGGTATGCATTTTTGTAGCCTATATAATTTTAGTATAATAATGTGCAAGTTTGAATTAAAAGTCAACGGTATTAAAGTTGAATAGGTTACAAAACTGCATAGCCAAAAGTTTTATAAAAATTCCGCATTTTCGTGAACTTTGCGTAAAGTTTTATGGCCTTATTCATAAAAAATAAAAAAGGTTTATAAACTGAAAAATGTTAGAAAATGTAATTTTGTTAAGCTCTTTAAACCTACTTTATTTTTTATGAATAAGGCCATTAAACTTTAACTTATTTGGTTTATGTTATGCAACAGACTACACGAAATTTCAGTTTATTTTATGTGATGGACAAAACTGAATGATAGTAATCCTTATAAGCACAGAAAATTGGGT